GCCTCCTTACGGCGTGACTCCGCCCCTCCACAGAGGAGCTGCGCGAGTACTTCGGCGCGTTCGGCGAGATCGAGTCCGTGAACGTGAAGACAGATCCCAACACTGGCCGGTCACGGGGCTTCGCATTCCTCGTCTTCTCCTCCACCGAAACCATCGAGAAGGTGGGCTGGCCGACCGGCCGACTCGAAGCGCCGTCCGTGGCCGTGCCGTTCCGTGGGTGGCGATTTGGAGACTGGACGCATCCTGCTGGCCGGGGCTGGTGCCGCCGCCAGTCGTGTGGCAGGGTCTGCTGAATTGCCGAATGTGCGAGGCATCCCGCTCCGGACCCCCATCCCAAGCGGGCTATGCGTGTGCAAGGCTGACTGGATCTGTGATCCCCACCAGGTACTGAACAAGGCTGAGCACATCATCAACGGCAAGAAGGTGGACCCAAAGAAGGCCAAGGCGCGTCACGGCAAGATCTTCGTCGGAGGTCTCAAGCCCGAGATGTCCGATGACGACATCAAGAACCACTTCAGCGCCATGGGCACGGTAGGAAGCTGGCTGTGGTAGCTGTGGTGATGATATGAGGGCAGGTGGTGCTTTGGGCTTGGAAATGTGTTTCCTCCGGGTTTTGTCGTGGTCAGCTGTTGCGTGTTGAAATGATGATTTTGTCGGGGCCAAGTGCCGCTCTTTCATGATTCCAGAACGTCGTGGAGAAGGAAATAGTTGAATTCTGCTTAAAACACCACAGCAGCGAACTCTGTAGTGCCGCTCGGGATCTCACCGCCCACTCATTCCGCCGCAGGTGGTGGAGGTCGAGATGCCCATGGATAAGATCAAGAACCAGCGCAAGGGCTTCTGCTTCATCACCTTTGAGCAGGAGCAGGTCGTGCAGGACCTGATCCGCGTCGGAAAGACCAAGATCAAGGACATTGAGGTGGACGTCAAGAAGGCGACCCCGAAGCCGGACGGTGGCCGCGGCGGCATGCGCGGCGCGCCGCGCGGCGGACGGGGTATGATGAGAGGTGATGACCGGGGCCGCGTCGCCGGGGCGTGTCGACACGTAAGACTCACGAGGCAGACCGGGCACGGCGCGGCAGCGACGAGTGCGAGGACGGTTCTGTCTCCGGTGAGGGCGCCGGTGCGCGCTGCGTAAGTTTGCGTCGCGCAATGGGCTCGGGGTGCCGGCTTTGTGGCCGGCGATGGTTTGCGATGTCCGTAAGTTCACTTGCTAAAGAGCCCGCCTTGGCGCCGTCTTGGCTCTTCATGGCATAAGGTTGGCCAGCAGGTGAGAGCAGGAATGTGCTGACACTCCGCAAGGAGGGAAGTTCCTCCCCTCCACCGCCGCTATATGTGCTGAGCAAGGGAATGCTGTGCATCCTGTTTCGGAGCGCGAATGCGTGTATGCGTGGCTGTGAGATGAGGTGCATCAAAGCAATCGGCAAGACCGTTGTTCGTGTTTGTAGCGATCGGGCTTCTCCGAAGACGTCGATTATAAGTGACTGCCATGACCAGTCCTGACCCGACCCGACCTGACCTGACCTGACCCCGGTGTTCCGGCAGGAGGCCGCGGCGGTCGCGGTGGCTGGGGCGGCGGCTGGGGCGGTGGCTACGGGGGCTACGGCGGCGGCTACGGCGGCTACGGTGGCGGCGGATACGATAACTACGGAGGTGAGTGGCCGTTGTGTGCGCCTGCGGGCGTGCGGAAGTCCTTTCAGCTGGGCCGCGCTTGCGTGCTTTGGGGCCGATCTCCGCGTCTTCGTTTTTCTCTTCGGGCACGTCGTCCAGGAAAATGCCGTAGAACCTGATCGATCGAAGCGCGGGGTGAATGCGCACGCTCTCGTGCGGCTCGGAGTCGAACGTCACGCGCGTCCGTCGCGGGTCAAAACGCCAGCCCGTCCGGCGGCCAAGCGTCAGCGACCGTACGGGGCGCGCCGAGAAACAGCGCCGTGCGGCCGTGCTCGTCGCGCCAAAATCTCGCGCGCGCGCGCGCCGCCGGCCTGCCTCTAGCGCTGTGTCTCTGTTCGGCAGCGGCGCAGTACGGCGGCGGACGCGAGCACAGCCGACCGTACGCCGACGCCTACAGCTCGTGGCGACAGTGACGCGTGCGGGCGCGGCGGGGAGGACTGCGTGCGTGCGCGTGTGTCTGGAGTGTGCGCGCGTGCGTGCGAGAGAGGGAGCAGACGGTGGATCACGCTGGTACAAAGGCCCGTGGCGGCGGGCGAGCGGGTGCTCCCGACGCGGCATTCGTTGGTGTTCTTCCTTGTTTTGCGAAGCTTTTGCTGTGACGTAGGCGGACGCGCGTGGGTTTATTTTCTATGTGCGGACCCGCGGCTCCTAGTGCGGTCTTGGCCCACCAATAAATCGCCGAATGGTGACACGGTGGTGTCGGCACCTGGACGAGGCCTGAACGTGTTGGGCGCCTGGCGAGCGGAATTGCGACCACCTATGGGGCTGGCCGTCCATCAGCACCCCTATGCAGTGACGTTTTACAGCTGTAGACTGTCGCATGGGGTGCCTCGCGATGCACTGAGTCAGGGTAAGTGCGCGGGCGGCCCCTTTTTCGTGTCTGTGTGAGTTCTGTGGGAGGGGTGGGGGTTCTAATATTTGAAATGAACGCAAACGCTGAGCTTAACTATCGTGTGATCCTGGCGTCTTCCGCGTTATCTGACGGCAACGTCCGCTTCAGGATACGGCGGCGACTACTACGGCGGATACGGTGGGTACGGGGGCTACGGCGGGTACGACAGCGGCTACGGCAGCGGCTATGGCGGCGGCTACGACGGCGGTCAGGGCTACAGCGGCGGCAAGCAGCGCGGCGGTGGCGGCGGCCGGGGCGGCAGCTCGCGCCACCAGCCGTATTAGCGCGGCTGGCCCCCTTCCCCCGTAGCTGTGTCCTCAACCGCGACCACACATCTCATCAAGGTGAGGCACAGGCTGGCTTGCGAGGTAACGGACAGAGCGACCGAGCTTCGTCCCGGAAGTGATGCGTCACCGAATGGTGATGCATGATGTGCTGTTTTTTTTCTCCCTGAGTCGCCCAATGGTGGTGCGTGATGTCCTGGTGTTGCTCCCAGACTACTGTAACTCCCCCACTACTATCTCCTCAACTAGGCTCATGCTGCATGATGATTTTCACAGTCAGTTCTGCTACTGATCGCGTTGACGACCATCGACTCCTGAAGTGATCTCGGCGCGCGTCCTGTTCGTCGCCCACCATCGTCTCTGACACCCCACACGTCCGGCAGGTTCACTGCACCATCCGCTGGCTCGCCTATGGCAGGGCCGTCCATTCCGCGCGCTGCGCGTGCTGGGCTCCGCGCTCGCCGGTCTCCGCGCTCACCGGTCTCCGCGCTCGCCGGTCTCCGCGTGTGAGAGTTGTCTGTGTCTTGAACTTGCGCCCGAATACACGGGTCTTGTGTACCGAGCAGCGTTTTCGGGATGGTGTGACAGGCTGCTAAAATGGGTAGAGAAGAGGCGGTTAGAACATGAAACAAATGACGCGAGGGCGGAAATCGCACGTTGCCGGGCTTTGGTAGAATCATAGACCATCAAGACTATGTAAAAAGGACGAAGATAACACCAATGACCGTAAGAGCGCCGAAGCCGCCATACACCAGTGGCCGTAAGGGCGCCGAAGCCGCTATACACCAATGACCGTAAGAGCGCCGAGGCCGCTGTGCGTATGCAACATATAGCTCCCTCACTACTATCTCCTTAACTATGCTCAAGCTACATGGTCATTTTCAGTCAAATGTGCTGCCAGTTGGTTGCGTTGAGGATCATCGGTTCCTGAAGTGTGCTTGGCGCGCGTCCCGCTCGCCCACGATCGTCTCTCTGACCCCACATATAAATCATTAGTACTTGAGTAATTGGGACGATATTCTGAACGGTTTGCGGTGGTGTCCTGGTAAGCACGCTGGTGAGGTGTTGCGGCGTTTCTGCGTTCCGTGGGCGGTGAGACGAGCAGAAACAATTTTCTTTCCGAAGACTGGGGAGCATTGTTGCGATTAACAGACCAACGATGCCCTACCCCTTAACGTCCAACGGCCACTACCGTTTCCAATCGCACTTTAAAAAACGGGTTGAGGAGATATTAGGGTAGCGGCAGCCTGGTAACATGAACTACATGGGTTGAACGCCAGGCCACGGTAAGTGGGAACAGCAGCGTGGGTTTTGATGGCGGGAGTTTCAGTGCTCTGTTCTACGCGGTCTTTGCCGAGCTGCCGCGCGATACCCTATCGGCGATATTATTATATAATGTATCACAATGTCGAGGCGAGATCACTCAATTTACATGATATCCAGATCGGTCTGCCGAGAACAGCCACGTTGCGGCCTGAGAAATAGGCGATGCGTATGAGGCCGGGCGATGGCGGCAAAGTGAAATAAAGATTCTTTAAACTGCTTTTAATTGCCTCTTGACTTCCCAACGCCCAGCCCAATCAGCGGGGTGTTGCATGGCGCGACTGATTCTGAATACTGTGTGCGGAAGGATCAAATTAGCTTATGAGAGTAGCGGACGAGCACGACAGCAGTTCAGCGAGAGGTTCAGTCCACGTAACATTAAACTGCCAAGTACGCGCCCCCCCAACGGGCTAGGGAATCCCCAGGCGGGTGATCGCATGGGGGCGGGGACGTGCGCAGGGTACATGGGGTCTGCTTTGGTATGTATCAGGATAGAAACGAGGGTCAAGATTAGCGAACAGCGCGTCCCACTCGTGGCCGCTCCGTCCAACCGTGCCGAGCTGCGATCGATGCAGTCAATTAGTGCGAGACCCGCGTTTTTCCGGGTGGCTGTCAAGCGTTTTTTCCCACTGGTCGCATTATGTAGCGCAGTCTAGTGCCGTTTCTACGTCATTTGTTTTATTTCAACGACGTAGTAATTTTTGAATGCCTGATAAACTGGTTTTGAGGATAATCGAAATCGACAACACGTCATGGCTATGTTGGCAGTGTTTTTGGTCTGGGTGTTTTGATTACAAAAACGTTGCGGATAGAACGCAAGTCTATGGACGGAAAACTGAAAACCAAGGGGGATCGGAGAAGCGTCGACGTGCTGTCTTTGCGTCGTGAGGTGTGCTAGTTGGTGCAAAACAACGCTGCCACGATTGTTGCTATTCAGAAGGGACAATTTTATTTTCTAGTGTGTTTATGCTCCATAGGGCTGCTGGCTAGCGCCCCTGGCAAAATCAGGGGATCGGACTGGTAAGCTGGAAAAGGATGATGTGCTGTAGAATGATAAAATGCGCTTGCGCTGAGGTAGGTGTGGTTGGGTGGAAGCGGGGGTGTTATATTGTAGCATATTTTAACAAAGCCATTGTTTTTGCCCAGTTAGTGGCATGGTGCTCCCTAGTGCACACATGAAGGCAGTCAATATTACTTCTGTCATACATAAGGTTGATTGTTCGTCTTGGTTCAGCATGGTCAGTTTTATGCTATTTCCTTCTATGTTGTGTGATAAAGGCATCAATACATCAATGCATGAATTGAATGCTGAAAATTTCAGTATGTAGCATAAAGAAATACACCAAGAACAGTACACCAAGAATAGCTTTTGCTGGATGCATGGGAAGGTGTGGTGTGTTGTTCTGGTTCACATGGCGCATTTATTTTTGATCGAATCTTTCTAGGTATGCAGACTTCAAAATTTCTGGAAAGTTTGGCCATCAGTATGTGGGTCACTTCAGAAGCAAGGTTCACATAACAGTGTTAACTTGTTGCTGGACTTTGGTTTATAGCATTGCAACAAAGCAGAGTGCTCATCAGATAATACTTCAGTTGCTTTGGTTTTTTTAGGCTAAAAAATTGCTCTGTTGGGGCAGTCATTTCTAGCTTGCTATTAGTAGGCCTTTTTTGCTATGCCTGATTCTGTGAAATGTGAAAATGCAAACATGTGAGACCAGTATTGGTTTGAAGGAAATAATAGCATGAGTATGTAATAAACAGCCTACTATTGCTGGGAAAGTATTCCTTAACACATTGTTTGGGGCTGAAGGTCAATTTGATCCCCTAGGAGTTGTGACACTATGATGAGAATTACATGTACTTTGTAAGGCTCCTGACTTGCGGCAGGTCAAAGCAGTCAGTGGCTGTCTGCCAAGGCAGTTTCTACAGAATCATTCCATCTGATGCAACAGAGTGTTCTCAAAGCCATGCATCTCTGAGCTGGTTTCATGGATAACACAGGAGCCAAACTGGAGATTATAACACAGTCCATTGACCTATCTTCAGGTACAAAGGTCAGACTAAGGTCAAAACCCATCTGTGTTTTACTAGATAAATGGCTTCTTGGAGCTTGCTTTATAGGGTACTTTCTAATGCTTATTTCTAATCTCATGATAATTCAGGCTGCAACAACATCTTGCATGGCTTTCTTAAGAGTCAGAGTAAGTCACTGACCTAAAACAACCTGGCTCAACCATTCATTGTAGTAACATTACCCATGATATAATCCTTGTGCATATTCAGATTTGAGAATCAAAGCAATCTCATAGGGTTTTGGTCACCATGACCTGATGACCATTGCAAAAGGTCAAAAAGGTCACAGACCTTACAGTGACCTTTTGCTTAGAATGGGTGTGCAGGCTCAAGGTGGTTACATTAGACCTGCCAACATTTTGGTCATCAATCTTGAGTTCAGGCTATTTGACTTTAAGGTCACAACTTATTGGCCTGAAAATTGTACACAAGTAAGCTCACGTACAGACCAAACCACCCTGTGAATTTGGTGTCTAGCTCTTTCAGTTTTTGAGATCTGGGGAGGGTAAATTGGTATCCACCCAAGCAAATGGTCATCATCTGCCCACCCAGGTGGGCATTGATGTTGCACAATGGCTGCTGAAATAGTGAACCCTGGGCATCTCGGTGTATTCTAAATTTGCAATAGCTGACAATTTGTCCTCCATGAAATTTGAAGTTGTACATAACCATTGCATAATCAAGCTGATTTCACTGCACATCATGACCCCAGGTGAAGCCATGGCAAGGGTTTCCAGAGTCAGGCTAATGGTCTAAAAATCTTGGGACAGATGTCACATACTATGACTACCCAGTCACACAGAGGATGCCACATGATCTCAGGTCACTGAAGACCATGATGAACATTAACTCCCTAATACCCTTTTAGTCTCTGGCTGCAAGTAATGTGAGCTCTAATGGTCTGATAGTAAATATTTGGCAAGGGATTGTATTTCCCATGCTCTACACAGCTGGCTGCCCTAGGAAATACAACATGGAGTATTTCTGCCTCCCACACAGTACATAAGCACTGGTGGCAGAGTTCAGTCACCACAGACTGAATGAGTAGGTACCAAGTCGGGTGTTGATAGTACAGTGGTCTATGTGTCTGTGTTAACCACTACACATCTGGGAAATGGGAGTCACAGTACCCAGTTCATGGTGCCTGCTCATCCTTCCCTGGTGAGAGGCAGGCTGTGCCATATAGTCTCAGCAGCTGAATGTTTCATGAAGCCCCAGTGACGTCCATGTATGTACCCATCAGCTCATCCCAGTTCCCCCATCAGCTTAACTGCAGTATCATCTCATGACAGTGTTCCAAAGCATGACAAGCTGAGCTTGAGGTGAGATTCAGATCCAGAATGGCTAGTGAAATAATGTGCGAGTCATTCAGTGATTTCCAGGCTTAGATTTCAGCCAGATGCTTCCGAGGTCAGACAGCAAAATTTCTTTCATGTTTACTCTCTCATAAGGTTATGGCAACATTTGCCAATTAAATCACATCAGGTCCAGTCAAAAGTAGAAGTGTCAGAACATCTAGACCAGTAGCAAGTGAGACCAGTAAGTTTTCAGGCATGAGCCCCCTGGTTTGGAACATTCTGTGTTCGGGATTGATCTGCCCTCTTGCTAGTTTTACTCAATACAACCAGAGCTGAAAATATAGGTATCTAGCACTTTCAGATTGCATAGATTTAGTAGATTAGGGGCACACCTTCAATAAATGATGCATTGGAAGGGCATTAGATGGCAAGCTGTGAGGGCATTAAATGGCAAGCTGTTGACCTATGCACCAACTCAACTCACCAGTGTGCAGTGGCACAGCCAGGGGGGGGGGGGGGGGGGGCTCATGGGATCCCAGCAGGCCTAAATTTTTATTGTTCTGCATAGTTTTTACCATGGCATTGCTGAATATAATTTGGGAATCTGGTGATCAGAAACGATTTTAGCCTTAGATATCACATACAGGTTTAAACACTCCATATAGACACATATACAGAAGCTACCATGAGCAGTGACATGTGGGACCCTGTAGTTGTATTTTAGGAACAAGGCTAGCAGAGAGCTAAGTGAGCATGTAAGGCATACAGCTGAAACAATTGCGCAAGGCACCAGGGCAAACCAGCATCCATAGCTCAAAGCTCATTGATGTGCTAGGTTTATTCTGATAGCGTTTCTGGGGTTTGCTAGTCTGCATGCAGTGTGCGATACTGTCAGTGAGGCTAAGGCTCAGTCTTAGCCTCAAGATGTATATCAATACATACATATATATATATATATATATATATATATATATATATATATATATATATATATATATATATATATCAAGAAGGGGCTAAGGCTTGGTCTTAGCCCTTTCATCCCTTATAATTTTTCATGTCATCCTTAATTGATTTCATTCCTTTTCATTTCATCCTGTATTTATTCGTCCTTCATCCTTCACCCTATTAGCCCCTTCATCGCAGATTGTGGTAGCCCGCAGCCGCCGGCAAATTCCGGCTGCACCCTTGCCAGTGTGCACGATTTCTCCTGTTCCAGACTATGAACAACCAGAAGTTTTGCCTGAAGTGGGATGGCTTCCAGAGCTCCATCACGTCGGTGTTTGATCACCTGCGGCAAGATGAGGAACTGGTCGACATCACCCTGTGCTGCGAGGGCCAGAGGGTGAAGGCTCACAGGATGATGCTGTCTGCGTGCAGCCCTTACTTCAGAGACTTGTTCAAGGTAAAAATGCGTGGAATATGTAAGTTATTAAGACAGAGATATGCATTGTGATGGTGATTAGTGGTTAGTTTGGGTCATCCAGTGTGCACTTCACTCTGTGTCAGAATGGGTATGTCTCACTACAGTGAATATTCCTTGTGCACAAGATTACTTGATAGTTTCTGTACAATGCCTATGCAAGTGGCATTTATTAGACAGCTCACAAGATAGTAATATGTGACAAAAGCACAAATTAAAGGAAAGCGCTTGCTGACAACCGAGTTTAGCGTGCTGGAGGCGCCTAAGACATATGGTTTAGCCTAAAACGGCGTCGTATGTTCTCGGCCAGCGCGTTTTAAGCGCCTACCTGGAATTTTGTGCTCAACATCCATTTACGTGCATTGTAGGGGTTGCGGGTAGTGTAGTGGTTAACGCGTCTGCGTTAGCCACTGCGCGTCTGGGAAACCAGAGATACGAGGTTCGATTCCCCGCTGTTTTCACCCCTCCTGTCAGGGTGAGAGGCAGGCGACGCCATGTAGCCTCAGCAGCTAGGTTCGACGTAACGCCCAATGGCACATGATGACACGTGCACTGTACTATTGCTATTCAGGTGTACATGAATGCATTTTCAGTTGAAAGTTAATATCGTAATGAATGTTGTAGGGATGGATGTGCCCCAGGACCGGTGAATCAATACTTACCTGCCTGTCCTTCATACCGAGCATGTGTCAGTATGTGGCCGGTACGTTGCAGGACAACCCGTGCCAGCAGATGGTGTTCTTCCTGAAGGACACGTCGGCCGCTGACCTACGGGCCATCATAGAGTTCATGTACAAGGGCAGTGTGAACGTGTCACAGACTCAGCTGGCCAGTTTCATCAAGACAGCAGAGATGCTACAGATCAGGGGTCTCAGTGGCGGCGAGGACCAGGTTAGATCATGCTCGTGTACAGAAGGTGTCCCTGTCTTGCCTTGATGTCCCTGTCTTGCCTTTATTTCCTTGTCTTGCCTCAATGTACCTGCCTTGCTTTGATTTCCCTGTCTTGTCTTGATGCCCCTGCCGTGTCTTGATGTCCCTGCCTTAATTTTATGTCCCTGTCTTGTCTTGATGTCCCTGTCTTTCCTTGATGTCCCTGTCTTGCTTTGTTGTCCCATGTTGTCTTGGTGTCCCTGTATTGCGTTGATGTCCCTGCATTGTCTTGATATCCCTGTCTTGTCTTGACTTCCCTGTCTTGTCTTGACTTCCCTGTCTTGTCTTGATGCCCCTGTCTTGTCTTGATGTCCCTGTCTTGCCTCGATGGCTCTTGACCTCCTGGAGCACAGACATATAGGAAGCGAACCATTCCAGCCCATCATCGAATACAAAATACAAAAGTACAAAGTCAGTGGGGAGAGCATTAGGGGAACCAGTTGGGCCTACAAACTGCAAGACATGACCATGTATGTACAGTGCTATAAACACGATCGAAGTAACTCTGCCATCCGAAGGCAATCCGACAATGAGGCTTCATGTGAGGCTGTGAGGCTATTCTTCAGGAATGGAGTTTGATTGTAATGTAAAATTAGGAGCGACTTGCGGTCGGGAGACATCCAAAGCTATTTTTCTTAACACATAAAAAGGTTTATTTTGCCGAAACCTGGAAGTGCTTATTCTGAACAAGTTGCCTATTGGTGCTTAGCCCTCTTTGCGTTCGGACGGCAGAACTACGGAATACTTCTGCCTGTGGCCGTTTAAAGTCTGTCAGAAGAAAGGACTTCGGCCCGCCTCGGTAGCCGTGCCTGGAGGCTGCGCAGTGGCGGCTGCTTGGCAATGAAAGCGCCGCTTGTCCATTTCAGTTCGCGATTGTGTCTGTTCTGTAATGCAGCTGAAACATTTGGTGGTGGAGGTTGGGATGCGTTGTGCGTTGTAATCAGGGTCGTAGCTCAGGCTACTGGCGCGCGTGATATTGCGCTGGAGTGATGAAGCAGACTTCCTATTGGTCATGGGCTTGCTGTTCGCCCAAGTCCGGTTACCATTATTGAGTCCTGTGCAGCCTTGTCCTGCAAGTTTGGCAAACAGTGCCGGCGTCTGTCAGGTAACACGCGGCAATGGCTAGTCGTTGGCGGTGAGGTATCAGCGCATGTGATTGCTTTTCACAACGGGTAAACATGCACGGTCTGTGTGAAAGCCACGGGGTATTTGTCTCACCATTATCTGGCCACCTGTGTTGACCTGTTGTGACCTGTACTGACCTGCTGTGCCCGGCGCTGACCTGTTGTGACCTGTTAGGATCTGCACTGACCTGTTATGGTCTGTGCTAACCTTCTGTCTTGTGCTAGCCCATTGTGACTTGTGCTGACCTGTTGTGACCTGTACTGACTTGTGTCGGCCTGTTTTAACCTGTGAGATTTGAAGGTCAGCCATTACCTTAGGTCAGTTCTTGATTGACAAAGTAACGGCCCAAGATGCGAAGAGGTGACATCACGTTTAGCTACTTCACGTGGATGCTGCTGCACCATCTGGACTCACTGCCACACTATATGCTGTCTGGTGAAATATCTTTTGCAGCGCAGTAGTTTGTGACGTCTTTGGTATTAATGGCGAATGACGAGAACCGCTGCCGTGTAATTAACCAAATTAAGCGAAGGTGTTGGCGATGAGGCAGCTGGCACTCTCCGATCGTCCCGTGACCTCCGTTGACCCTGCCCACCGTCAGTCGTCGCCACCGTCAACGCCGTCGACGGCGGGGCGTCGCGGCGCGGCGCCGGCCGGCAGCCCGCCGGCCAAACGGACGCGCCGCTCCGGCTCTCCGGGCTCGCCGGTCGGCCGACGGCCCGCCAGCCCCGTGGAGCTGGGCTCCGATCTGTCGCCGACGGCAACGCCCGAGGTGTCGCCCGGTCCGACGGCGCCGCCGCCACCGCCGAGGGGACAGCCGCCGGCGGCAGGGCCGGCGCCGGTTGGCGATGGCTTTAAGGTACGTGGCCGGCGGGAGAGGCTGTGGTGGGGGAGGTGGATGACGGGGACCGCGTGCGCGGGCTGGTTCGACGGCCAGGGCTGCAGTAACGAGAGAATGGGGAGGGTGTGCGTTATGTGCAGCTAATGAGGAGCAATATTTTTGAAATGGGCGCGGCGTTTGTTTCGAGAGTTGGCCCGTCTTGGTCAGCGTGGCGGGTACGGGTCATTGTTAAGGCTTTCTAGCTCAGTTGGAGCTTTAACTGAGTTACTGAGTGTTGTTTTTACTATGTTTGACGTGTCGGCGGCTATTGTGGTTTCACTGTTGCAACCTTAATTTGTCTTTTATTCAACAATGTTGTCGTGTACCATTGCACCTATGCACCATTAGTTTCTCAAATAGCCATGCAAATAGTTTTACACTTGATCAAGGGAAATTTTGCGCGACCCGATCGACAGCCATCTGCCCACCACAGTCCGCAGTGTCATACGGCCGTTCGATTTTCGCTGAGGCTGCCTCCTCAGCGAATCCCACTCCCTTGTTCGTCAGGTGGAGAAGGAAGATCTAGCAGAAGACGGTGACGTCAGCCTGGACACCACGCTGGGCTACGTGGCCGAGTATGAGGGAAGCTTCGGCGAGCAGGACCTCTCCATAGGCGGCCACGACGGCGGCCGGCTCGGCGCCGATCCCACAGCGGCCTGTGAGTTATGAACAGCTGGTGTGGTGGGGTGGCTGTGAGTTATGGACGGCTGGTGGCATTGGTGAATTGGCAACATGACGGATTGCGGCAGCCAACAGCAATATGACCAGTCGATCGATCAGCAACATGGCCTATTCGTGGTGCGTTTATCAGCACCAACTTTTTAACATGGCTACGTTTTCCTTTTGTAGTTCTCAACACACAGCATATGAGACCTCCCTGACACCCACTTGTTAAGTCAAACAGGATTCACAGCTGACATGTTGCCGAGGCTACGTCCGACAGCTGGCATATTACAACCGGTTGCTATCAGATGCTGCGAATGTTATAATTAGCTGGCAACACACCTACGTTGTCAACATGTTTCGTGAAACAAATTGTGGTGGCTACCTGGCAAGATTTTGGAAAGAAACGTGGCCTTCTCTTGTGCAGCGATTGAAACTCAAAGAAATCGGGAAGGGATACAGACGTTTAAAGGTCTCAGCTTTCCTCGTAACCCTGTGAGCCGCGCGACCTTGACCCCGCCGTCGCCCCGCGCGTGCGCCTGCCGGCCGGCCTGACCGGTGCTGCCCTCTGTTCCAGTGGCCGCGCTGGCGGCTGGGCCATCGCAGCGGCTGCGGGACGACCCGGCGTCACAAGGTAGGCCCGTCGTGACGTCACGGATCCCCCTCCCCGCCCCTGCGTCTGGCCGCCTTATGAGCCGGTGGTCGTCTCGGCCTCAGCATTGCAGAGGACGGTTCTTGTTTTTGCATGTTGAAGCTTACCTGCATTCATCATTTTTGTATGAAAACATGGATCGTATCGTATCTGGGTGCATGAGCGAGATGTATCGAGATACATTGTGTGACGTCGACGTGATTTCCTCGTGCACTTGACCTTCATATAAGAAGTGCTATATCGCCACATTTCTCCAGCGGCTTGTGTTTTATTAGTTAAAGGGAGTGCTGCACATTTGAACGAGGTTTTGAACGGAAATAGCCATCTTGAAGACCTTTCGGTGAAGTTCACGGCCCTACCCTTATTAAGGCCCAAACTTCTCTAGTTTCTGAGCTGCAGGCCCGCGAAAATGAGGGAGTATTTCTGAGAGTATTTCAAAGTCACCTTCGCATGCATGACGTCATAACGTCGTCATTCAAATCTGCCATTCTATAAGCCATGTGGCGATCAAGGCCGAAAAATATAATCTTCGAGTCGCTCATGTCCGACGTTCGTGAGCACGATTTCCAGGTGCAACGGCCATCCATTTGCTCTCAATCAATGTCGTGCAGGATACGATGGCTTAATCAGGGAGTGACGTATGGAGGAGCATATTTACTAAACAGAAAAATTTGGTTGCCTAGAGCAGTCTTTTCCACTTGAAAGCCCACCAATTGTTAAAAGTGGGCTTATCTCATCAAGTGTGATGCTTGGTTCAATATCTTGAAATGTGGAACATTCCCTTTAAGTATTGCGAGTTGCATCACCCCACGGAGCAGTTGGACGCGGTCCTTGTTGAGAGATGCGTGCAAACCAGCTGCGTTGCCACCGGCACCACAAACAAATGACCGGACCTTTGCTGAAAATGTGGACACGGCTGCACTCGAAGGCGATGATTTTACTGACATCGACAATGCATCGCCGGGTCTGTGGCTTATATAGGTGGGCCTGTATTTGCTCAATGTTTATAGGTCAGTTTCAGCTATTTGTGCGTCAGTCCTAGCTGACATTTGCACTACCGTTTCGCGGTTCGTGGAACATGCCCACGTGTATTGTTTATTGACCACTTTTAGTGAGTAGAATGTGCATGCGCATATACTTGGCATAGACACCAGCCATATCGATAGAAGAGAGCGTCTTGGTCTTTGCAGAAGTTGTCACTGGCCTCAACATCTCGCCATTCTGAACACGTTTTGGAACTTATGGGCCGTGCTCATATTCCTTCCTTTGGGGAATGTTATTCGTCCAGTCGCCGGCAATAATCTCAGCGCTTCTCAGAAGCTTTGAACCAAGTGTTTTGATCTTCTATTCATAAGTTAGCGAAACTTTTGTTTGTAAGTCGTTGCTTGCAGCCAGGATGTTGTTTGAATTTGGTTGCACTTTGTCTCATCTACTTGCATCACGTTCTTCTCTCGCATGCCGTGCCTTCATTTAGAAGATTCTGTGTCAGCGAGTCGAGGCAGATAGCACTTGCCATAAACGCGCAATAGCAATTGACCGGCATCCAGGATTGTTTTGCCGCGCTACGCATGACCGCAGTTTTAGGACATGACTCATCCATATTGGAGGTCGATGCCTGTGTCTGTCGCGGCCTTTCCGTGTGTGAGGAGGCTGAATTGCATGGACAGGGCGGGTCCCCTCGGGTGGTGCCGATGCTCAGCGCCGTTACTTGTGGTCGTGCCGCCCAACTGGACGCACGAGCCTTGCTTTGTCATGGTTACGCCTTGTTCTCTTTTTTAATGGGGAACGCGACGCGCGTCGTTGCGTTCTTTTTCAAGCGCCAGCTTCTGTGTTAGTCGTAATAGCGCCGAGGGGTCATGGCATAACCAGGATTTGAACCCGGGCCCCCACGTGGGGTCCGACGCGCCAACCACTCGGCTTTTACGTCCCTCATTGCAACCCTGATCCGGGCCAATCGGGACCATGGTGTCGGAAGCTTGCCTCGGACGCGGGGCAGTGGAAGGGGCGCTACTGAGGAATTTTCCGTGATCGTCGCCGGCATTTATTTGTGGCTCAGGAGCCAGGGCTGGTGCTGAAGTGGTGCTAAGCCGGGGTGGGTGCTGAAGGGGTGCTGAACCGGGGTGGGTGCTGAGCCAGGGCTGATCGTGGGGTGGTGTTGTGCCAGGGCTGATCGTTGGGTGGTGCTGAGCCGGGGCTGGTGCTGAAGGGGTGCTGAACTGGGGTGGGTGCTGAGCCAGGGCTGATCGTGGGGTGGTGATGAGCAGGGGTTGGTGCTGAGGTGGTGCGGAGCCAGGGAGCTTATGCAAGTAGCTGGTTATGTCGCGTTGTAACGGTTAGTGCTTTTTGCTGACATGATTTTGGCGCACTTCGCCTATAAAGGCGTTATAGCTTGTCGTGTAGAGGGAAAATGTAAGATGTCTAAATTCTGGATGGCGTGGGGTCTAATTCGCGAGCTGGAACGCCGGACTTGCAGAAAACCACTACCACGCGGCGGAGGCAGTCCTCCAGGGCAGCTGAAGCATGGAAACGGTAGCTGGCCATCCCGCGGGACGTACGACGATGGCTTATGCATGGCTTTCTCTTCATGTGCTCTCATGCTAATGAAGTCTAAGTCCACAAATCTATAGATGAGGGACCCTGCTTGTTGTTATCGACGCCACAAACACTGGACGCCACACATAAACGCTAGGCGCCACAGACGCCGCTTGCAAATGCGGGTAGTGATTCCAAAGAAGCGGCTTAAAATGCCAGTCTTAGGCCGAGGTGTTGGCGGCATGGTTGTCGTAGCCAAGACTTCTAGCCCAAAACTTTGGCATAGTCTGGGTCAGGCATACATGAGTGCTCAGCTTTTCGGCGCGTAGCTGAGCCATGTTTCTGATCGGATGAATCAAAACACAATGCTCCTAAAATGACAGCAATGCTGCTAAACTTGCACTCGTAGATATGCATACTCTGATGGAAATTGGATGAAATATAGGCAGTGACGCAATGATTATATTGGTAGGTCTAGATGAGTTTAAGTTTTGAAATGCGTTGAAATGTACCGCAACAAACATGGTTTTAAGACGGTCTTAGGTTAAGACATACTTTTGGGAAGATAATGAAGGGGGCTCTGGAATTTGATTCTGCAGTGCTTTAAGTTTTCCGATGAAAGCGGCGCCACAGCTGTCGCTACCGGTTTTTATGAATGGTGATGATAAAGATGCAACGGCAATAATGCATTTCAGAAGTGACGTACTCATAATTTTTTACGCTGCTTCATGTAACCTGATAGTGTTGTCAACACCTGTGGTCTCAGTGCTCTCTGCCCATTTGTCTTGAGAAGATTTGTCAGTGCTCTCTGCCGATTTGATTTGAAAGGTGGTGCCCCCCGTGAGGCACCACCTTTCCGTGGTGGGGGATTGTGTGCCCCAATGATGTTGCGGGCGGTTGGGGAGGCTTGTAAAGCGCCCCTTCCGGCCAAAGAGGAGGAGCCAGACTAAACTTGTCTCCCACAAGGGCTCTGACTCGTTCAGGGTAGGGATTAGCGGCCCTCGGCCCCGGCTTTCCAGTCTTATCTGGGTCTCGCCGTACCCCGTTGGATCCGCAGGTAGCGATGAAGGGATCCTGGTCACTGAGGGAGTTGCCCTGCGGGTCAGTCGGGGCAGCTACCAACATGTGGCTTTGGCCCGAATTTGTGATCCTGCGGATGCCTCGTGAAGTCTCCACACGAGGAAATTCGGCTGGTCAGGCGTCGTGTTCTCGCGACACTGGCTTGAAGGCAGGCAGGCCATGTGGTGGGCGTTGAGGGGCGGGGGGGGGGGGGGGGGAGTGGCCGGCGGCAGCCACACCGATTTGTCAGGGCTGATTTGGACTTCCATAATAAGTTTCGTAAAGATCAAATTATTTCGTTGTGTAAAGCAAGGAATGGTGATCCAGGATGGCGCTGGACCATTTAATTTGCGTGGCGTTTGAATTCCGTTCTTCCGGACGAGTAAGTTGTGTGCACAATCATGTGGGAAAGGAGGTCAGAGGCTTTCTAAGAGTCACGCGATCTAGCCGCCCCCGGCCTCTTGTCCGCGTGGAACGGAACGGTGCAGTTGCCACCACACTCACTCTTGTTTTTTTCGTGGGGGGGGGGGGGGCTCCATTTTCACTCGAACAGTGCTGCGAATTCCTGGCGCTGTGTGGAAGAAGCGTGCGTTGATGCTCAGCGATAACTGTATCAATGCTATCCGGGCCTGGAATATGTTTAGTCCTAATGTTTGTTGAAGGGCTTGCTATCTAAGGGCGCGTTCGGCCGGCAGCTAATCTCGGAAAATTGTCCGGAATGTTGGAAATTTTCCGGAATGGCGTTCGACACTGCCGTCATGGAAAATTATCCCAGATAATTTTCCGTAGCGAGGGAGAATCGCGGAGAATTCTCAGGGCATGGTAAAGGCGGAGAATCTGTTTTGGCTATGCATAGCTATGACCGTGGGCTGTGGATGACGTATGAGAGACTAATCTGGGGGCGAATTTCCGGACCGGCCCAGTAAAAATAGAGAATCTCCGTGGACGATTGTCGGAGAGAAAATTATTCGTTGAATAATAAACATTTTCATAGTCATACAGTTTATATGCGCACGAAATCGTAGCCTGAAATATATGCTACAACTGAAATGTCTGCCGTATTTTGATACAAATAAAGGTTCTATTGGGCGTTCACGAAGACCAGATCGCGCACTCATAAACTGCCAGTACTGGACTCGACTCCATGAGATTCGACCCGGGATATTAAGCACTGCTGTGTGCGGGCCAACCCCGAGCCTGGTCATCAGCGGAAATCCACGGCATCGTACTTCGAAGTCAGTGTGTTAGATACACCGGTGCTGCCCGGGCCGGGAGCGGAGATGCGTCAACTGCCGGTGCCGGATCTGGACATCAACGGAGGTCGGCCGCATCGTGCCCGAAGCGTCTGTGGCACACGTAGTGACCACAATGGTGGCCCACATCATGCTGTTGAAGCCGCCGCCCGCGCTGACGTATTCAAAGCCAGAGCCGGACGGCGAAGCGGTGAATTGCTCCGGCGGCGCAGATGTACGAATGATGAGCCCGCAAGACTTAAGCGACGCGGAAACTGACGAGACTGAACCCCGCGAACCCGCGTGCTGTCGGCCGCCGCGCCTGCCATCTGTCGCCCGAAATTGGAAGCTGCGACACAATTGCCCTGCCATCTGTTGTCCGAGAGCGGAAGCTGCCACGAGCCTGACCTGCCCTCTGTTGCAGGCAAGAAGAAATACGCCTGCGACATCTGCGGCAAGACGTACGGTTACCGAGACTCAGTGTACCGGCACAAGCGCACGCACGAAGGCAAGACGGTCTGCTTCGTGTGCGGGAAGGTGCTGAGCTGCCTGCCGACGCTGCGGGAGCACCTGCGGTACCAGCACAGCATGAGCCAGGAGGAGGTGGCCTGTATGGTCACGGCCCGGACGGGCGCGGCGCCGGCGCCGGCACCAGCGGCGGTGGCCGAGCGCGCGCAGGAGTGAGGCGCGGCGAGTGTGGAGTTCGGCTGCAGTGAGTGTGGAGTGTCACTCATTTGGCGCGGGGCTGCGTTTTATGACACGCGACGTTGAGGAAGTGCGGAGTGATCCTCAGCGAGTGTGGAGTTATGCTTCGCGACTCGGCACTCGCTCGGAGTGTGCCGACGATGTGAATCGGTGTGAGACGATGTGAAGCGGTGTGATGCGGTGTGGCGTGAACCGGCCACGGTCACTGACCGCGATCTTGGCCAGTCGGTGAGTTTTTCGGAGGCTAGAGTTGACTCAGCGAGGTTTTGACGGATGCGGTCCGGCTTGCCAGGGCGCCCCGCGTCTGGCTGACTGATTGGTGCCTGGCCTCAGGTTGTGGTGATATTTGGCGGGGCCAACTTGATCGTTTTGTAGCCATGCTTGCGGGGCGTTTGCTCGTGTTTCACCGCATATTTTAGAGGTGGACTTACTGGATTCGTACTGGCGACTTTGTCGGCGAGTCGTGGAATTGTCGATGCCTTTTCCGAATAGTGCAGGGATGAAGACTGGACGAGAATAATGTATTGTTTGGTCAGTGTTTGGGTGTTCCTGCTGCCGGAGGTGGGATGTGTCCAGTGCGTTTTGTCGGCATTACTGGGCTGTCATGAGCGCCGTACGAGCTGAGAGCGCGCTGTTACAGTTCCACGCGCCGTCGGTCGCTCTAACCTCATCGGAAAGGGAACGGAAGCTGCCAACCAGACTAATTACTTGAGAACCTGCCTGCATATTGGAGGCCGTTTACTGTCAGCTGAACGTTGCCACCGCATTTTTCACTTCGGAGTTGTTATATGTGAGACGCCGAGTTTTTTTCTCTAAAAAATCGCAAGCGGGGAGTGCCATATAACTTGCAGAGGAGTCATGAGAGAGCAGATTAGATCAGATCGGACCAAACCAGAGCAGAGCAGAGCAGAGCAGAGCAGAGCAGAGCAGAGCACGCTGACTTTGTGTCAGCGGCCGCCGTTTTCGGAGAGAAGGCCGGCGGTGCTGGTGGTAGGGGAGAGCGCTGTGCAAAGTGCCGATGCTCAGGCCGCAGAAGAAGCTGACTCAGTGGGCTGAACAATAACAGTGTTGCTGTCGCGTGGATAGTGAGAGCTAACCATCGGCAACGACATCTAGGGAGTCTTGGAGCAACTAAACTGCCGGCGAACGAAGCAAGTAGATACCATCCGCTTGTTGGGAAAGGACGTTGACACTTCACGTATTGATTTACGAGCCGAGTGTTTCACGTGGTAGCCGAGAGGACTACGCAGTATGGCGTACGACGCAGTATTATGTACTGGCAGTGACCAGCTGATGGCTTGCGTGCCATTCGTTGGCTGCAGAGAACTTCGGACGAGTCACCACCGTTGTGCTCAGCTGTTTTTTTTCTTCGTTTCGCTCAGCTGGTATTATGCCTTTTCCTGCATCATAATACCAGCTGGGAAGGTTGGAAGCGTCGGCACGCTGACGAAAACCAATACAAACTAGTGATGGCCAGTGAACGCCTTCACGCAATGACATCGAACTTTGATCTCCGGCGATTCTGAGCCGACGACCCCTTGGCCACCCACGCCTCACGAAAAACACCTCGGCCTCCCACGCCCCACGCATAACACCTCGGCCACCCACGTCTTGCGTACAACCACCGGCGCCCCTGCCCCGCGGGCAACCCCTCGACCTCCCACGCCCCAGGCTTTCGCACCCTCGTAACGACGCCGTCCCGTTCCAGCGTCCAAGCCGCACGTGTGCGGCGTGTGCGGCCGCCGGTACCTGCACCGGGTGTCGCTCAGTCACCACGTGAAGAAACATCAGGGCCTGACCACGTGCCGCCTGTGCGGCAAGGTGCTGGGCATCATGGCCCACCTGCGCACACACCTGGAGATCGTGCACGGCATGTCGCGGGAGGCTGTGCGCGCTCTGGTGCCGACCCGGCAGTACGCTTGGGGCAACGGCTACTCGAGCCTGGCGCAGGGCGTGGCCGCCGGCGGCGGCGGCGGCACCGGCAGCGGCGGCGGCGGCACCAGCAGCGGCGGCGGCGGCACCGGTGGCGCGGGGCTGGAGAGGATTGCCACAGGACTGCCGCGTAGGGAGGACGGCGGCGCTGAGGGGGTGGAGGGGTTGAGAGTGGAAGGCGGCGAGGAAGGGGGAGGGTTGAGAGTCGCGGGGGCGGAGGTGGGTGGTGTAGCGAGCGGTGCGCCGCCAGTATCGGAGTGCGTTTAGGAGTGTGTTTAGGAGTGTGTTTAGGAGTGTGTTTAGGAGTGTGCTTAGGAGCGTGTTTTGTCAGTGTTTACAGGCGCTTCTACTGCGTGGCCACTTCGCGGAGCGTGCTTAGAGAGCGGAGTGTAGCGTAGTCGATGTTGTGACGGGTGGCTGAGCTCGTCTTGCGCCCATGGACTCAAGGTCAGTGGCACGGAAAGGAAAGCGGGCTTCGAATGTTCGGGGTCGTACCGCGGAACGTCTCGGTTGTACGGTTGTACGGTTGTACGATTGTAAACATTGGAAGTGAAGAAACGTTTTAAGTACCGGCACTAGATGTGAGCAATGCGTTGCGATGGTGGCTCGTGGTTGTCCTGTTCCACGTATTCGGGTCGGAGGTACAATGACGTCATGTGTATATATGACGTCATATGTGTGACGTGCACGCACACCTGCCGCTGGAACAGGCGCCATTACATTCGGTACGCAAGCACCTACGTGTGATATGGTCAGGCAATGACACCATCCCCTCTCTTGGGAGTGCATTATTGATGATCCTGTTTTGTTCTACATCAGCTTTTAGATTTGTTGTTCGAAAACTGGCATTACAGTGCATATTGTGCTCCAATTTAGCTCGGTGCTCTCGTCCGCAGGGTATGGCGGCGGTGTGGCACTTGCCACCCTCAGGTTATCTCATAGCACTATGGCACTAATAAGATGCGGTCGAGACTAGAATATGTATGGATACGTACACGGCGCAAAATACCACGAGTGCAAATACAACCTTTGAATTCGCTGGTGTTCCAACTTACATCCCACCCTGCCCTTAAAACCACCGTCACTCGACATTGTGTATCACGCAAAGGGTCCATGACGGCGGACCAATCCGGGAGCGCCTCGGACGGTGGGTCATAAATCAGGATCATGTGCCTCGCGCCGTGGCAACAAGAGCCGGCACGATCAAGTGGTCCGTCCAATCGCATCGCTTTTGCACATCCGAGGGGGGCATGGTGGAAACGTCGGGATATAATTACATCTAGCGTTTATCGTATGACTTCATTGCCTTTGGAATAAGAAACCATCGAACAAATTTCTTATGGATGTTGAGCGATCTCTCTGAACTACAAACGGAGCAGTTGAAAATGCTTCATTTCATTTGGTTAACAAGTCTGAAATCATTGAGCAATAATCCCACCCTGTCAACTTATAAATTCACAAGCTCCGCATTACTGTTCAATAATTACGATGTGTCAATTACTTAATTACCAAATTAATTAACAATGTGCCAACTTTTGTAAATTTTGGGCGGCCGAACCGAAGGCCCGATAACCTAAGTCCCCCATTTTTTGTCATCGGATATAGCGCACTTCGTTTCAATTAAACGCAAGACATGTTTTTAATCTTTGTAACATCTATAAAAGTTTAATTTAAGCAGTAAAGACGTCATGCAGGGTTGGGTCCAAGGAGTAAGCACTGGACGCAAACGTCTCTTCTGATCGGCACGTGAAGGCGTCCCTTTAGAGGCCACTGTAGGGCGCCGATGACGCTCTTCTTTGACGGTCATGGAATGCGGCAAGCAGTTTGTGGGGGACGGAAACGGGGTTAGCCATGAGAAACTAAGGTCATCCACACATTCCACAGCGTTTCATTTTAACGTAACAAACCATTGTCCTATGGCGCTAGGTACGTGAAGCTTATCACATTGTTTATCCGATCAGCTGCTACGATTTGTATCCTGTGGTGAGAGCAACCATGACTTTTGTTATCAGAGTGCTACGAGACGCCACTACGCCAAAATCAAAGGAAGGTCAAAGAAGATAGTCTTTGCGTTATGATCTTTTACCCAGGTTTTTTGGACTCCCAACTAAAAACATTGGGGGGGAAGTCAATATTGGGGGGGGGGGGAGGGGCCAACTCAACATTGGGAGGGCCGGGGCCCTCACAAAGGAATACAGATCGGTACCCGTGATAATTCATACAGCTCTTACGCATCGGCCCACGCTACGGTAACACCACATTTTCATAAGCTTTGTCTCATCTTCCATAATGCGGTTTGCATGGCCTCGCCTGAACATCTGCTGAAGGCGTCTACACCACGATACAATTAACGCTAAAACCAACAAACAGGGAGGACCGCGCGGGCGCACACAGGCAGCGGTGGCGCCATCTATCGCAAGACGGCGTCACCAAGCCATCGCCGGTACCCGACCGTCGTTGACCAGCTCACGCCCGCACTGGCTCACGTGACGCAAAAACTGCGCCGCCAACGGACGGCGCGTTCTCGGACCGCATTCCCCATCCCTTGGAGGCCGTCGCGCTCCTGGCTGCCGTCACGCTCCTGGCCGATGTCGCGCACCTGACTGGCGTCACGCCCCCCACGTCGGCACTCCTGGCTGACGTCACGCTCCTGGCCGACGTCGCGCACCTGACTACGTCACGCGTCTGACGTCACGCCCCTGACTGACGTTACGCCCCTGACTGACGTTACGCTCCTGACTGACATCACGCGACCCCGCGGCGACCAGGACCGCGTCCCGAGACCGCTACCGACACTGGCGGACCGCGAACAGACGCCCCCGCGAGACTTATCGCTGCGAGCAAGACAATATTTCCTCCACCGGGCCATTTAGCGCTAGTCGTGAAATGAATGCCGTCTCTCGTGCAGACTAATCCGTCTTCGGACGGACGACCGAGCAGCAGACTGGGTTATTAATCTCAATACTCGTGGGCCGTGGGGTTGAGGCATAGCAAGCACGCTGGCGCGATGCGGGGGCTGGCAGCACATTTAATGATGCACGAAACTCGTACTGAACCATTGCAGGACCAGATAAACCTACGCTCACCGATTTGTTCACACCGAACTTGCCGATTGAAGCATAATCTTTCCACCTTTAGTGCCTTGTATCATTATTCGTCCACACCGCTGCACCAGGCATGCTTTTGTTTCATGACCGACTTACACCATCACAAGCCAAACCGCCACACTGGTGCCGTGTCGCGGCGTCTACCTCAACTCCACCTTGGTCCACCAAAGTGGTTTCACCGTTCCACCGAGGTCCACCACAGGGTGGTTCCACCGTTCCACCGTAGTCCGCCAGTGATTCCACCGTTCCACTGCGGTCCACCGGGACAAACGCCGTCAGCTGGCCCATACAGCCGTGTATTCGCTCTGTCTCGCGGTAGCGGCGGTACAGCAGCCTCAGCTGATGTGGTCAGTTCTCACAGGCGACGGCCGCGGCGACCTCCCTTCCTCCGCGTGCTGTCCGTGGGGATGGGCGTCACGTCCTGCAGCGCACGGAATCACAGGGTCAGCTCGCGGGATCACAGGGTCAGCTTACGAATCACAGGGTCAGTTCACGGGGTCAGCCAGCCTGCGGGATCACGGTCAGCTTACGAATCCCAGGGTCAGCTCACGGAATCACAAGGTCAGCGCACGGAGTCCCATGATCGGCTCACGGAATCAGCCATCATCAGCCATCAGGATCAGCCACGGGTCAGCTCAAGGGATTACGGTCAGGTCCCAAGATCACACGGCCAGCTCACGGGACCAGCCGGCTTACGCCATCACAGGGGCAGCTCACGAGGTCACCGGTCATCGAGGCTCGGGTCAAAGGGCAAACATCGGCCTTTTGAAGGGCAGGGGACATCCCGAGGTCAACAAGTCACCTGTTGTCAGGTCAGAGGACACATGCTGGCACATGCCATACGGGATATCTCAGTGTCGCCGATCACCACGGGTCAAGCGAGGGGCACGTGCCGGCACACGGACGAGTGAAATCTCGACGACGCCGATATCTGGAATCAACCTACACCCTAGACCGAAACACAGGGAGCCGGCAGACCGGTACGACATGAAGATCACGGATGCGGACCAACGCTAGGGGCGATGTGCTAGCCTCGAGAAAAAGCTCAGCAGTCCGAAGGTCTTTCTTGGGGCAGGAAGCACGTCCCATACAAACATTTTGCCATGCAGACAGGTACATCTGGGGTCTGGGCACGGACAGGCACAGGACGTGCTTACAGCCGACCAACAAGGAGGCACACACTGGAAATGCCAGCCTAGCGTACTACATGATGCATTACAATTGCAGGTAAGTGTGAAAAGATGGGGGAGGGGGAGGGTTGATGCGGCGGCGCAGCACATCACTTGGTCCGAGTTTGAAATGCACAAGGGATTGCATGCGTTTTGCCTGCTTTCGAATCGCCGGCTCGAAAAAAAGTTCCACTGGCTTTCCGTGACACTAACCGGCCAAGTCACCGCACAGTCCCGATGAAAAAGACGCATTGTTTGGTGACCTCGAAAGACCGCTATCATTTGACGACCACAACCGGCGATCACTTGGAGAGCACAACCCACAACCATTGACAACAACCCACGACGAACAACCAGCCGCCGTAACGCAACCGCGTTGGCCGCATATCAAGCAACGCGGCATGCATTTCGCCGTGCTCGCATTAGCCTTCGCGCTGCACCGGGCATGTGTGAAATGTGCGCACATACCGAGCGCGCGTGAGGGGCCCCATCTCCTCAGCCTCCCCACATCGTTGGCGCGACGCAACCCGTGTTCGCTTTAAGGTTGGCGCAGAACACGCTCCCACGCAGCTATTCAAGCAGCACTAGCGACCGGCCACATCCTACGCCTAAAATCATGCAGGTAGCAGCAGTTAGGAATGGAACTGGTCGTTCCGCGTCATAGTCGAGCGCTCTTCTCGCGTGAGCCCCTGATTGCTGGTGATTCACCCACGGGCGGGCGTCAGCGCGCCGTGCGGCCCCTCACACAACTACAGAGGGCCCCGAGCAGACACCCCGGGTGCGGTGGGGTGGAGAAATGTCCGTCTCCTCAGTCTCCCTCGGTGCCTACGAACACTGTCCCCATGCACCTGTCCCAGTCCGTGTTCAGTGTTCCAGTCCGCGCGGGGGTACGTCGTCGCACCACCCTTCCCGAGCGTCAATGACCGGCGGTCACACCGCGCCGCACCAGCACCCACTGGGGAGAGACCGCGACCCTCCGGCACGAGCCGCCCACCCTACCCATCGCGCCGCTCGGCCGCCACCACACCACCGGCGCCGAGCCTGCCACCCCCGCTACTGACCTCGATGCGGCCGACCTTCATGCCGGAGCGGGCCAGCGCCCGCAGCGCCGACTGCGCGCCCGGGCCGGGCGTCTTGGTGCGCGTGCCGCCGACGGCGCGCAGCTTGATGTGCAGGGCCGTGATGCCCAGCGTCTTGCACTTCTCGGCCACGTCCTGCGCGCGCAGGCGGGAAGAGACGGTGACGTAAATGCAAGTTGGAGGTGAGGGGACAGGTAACACACAAACACACATGCACAATGAACCATCTGCCAGGTGGTGAGACTAAATGGGCTGTGTGGCAGGTGCCCTGTTGAGATATGGTTATGATGGGGGTGGGGGTGGGGGTGGGGGGAGGTGGTGTCAGGTCATAGTGGAGTCCAACAGGTCATGAACAGCAGGAGGTTTCATTTCTTTCAGACACATTCCAGGAAGCATGGCTGGCATTATCAGACAGGTTGACCCAGCTGATGTGGAACACATTGTCCCTGAGTGAGGCTAGCTCGTGTCCCAAGATCTACATGTGGAGCATGCCCATCCTTGTCACGACGTTTTTTCGACCTATGCACATTACAACAAATGCATTTTGGGTGCTGAATATACAGGTGACATGCATAACACAAAAGAACTTTGGAAAAGGAAACAAAGTGGGAGTTTGCTAGTGACCCTCCTAACCCCTCTTATCATAACCTCATCTCAACCAATTGACCTTCCTGACCTGCTTCACTGCAACCTCACCCCAACAAACTGGCTATCCTGACCTGCCTTGTCCTGACCAGCCAGCTGGTAAACCAACCAACTGAACCTCCCCACCCCTCTCAATGTAACCTCTACCCAACCCACCAACCCTTCTGACCTCCCTTGACATAACCCCATCCCAACCAGCCCTTCTCAGTCACTCACATCACCCCAACTAACCCTTCTCAGTCACTCACATCACCCAACCAACCCTTCTCAGTCACTCACATCACCCCAACCAACCCTTCTCACCTCCCTGCCATAACCACACCCAAACCAGGCATTCTCACATCTCTCCCTCACAACCTCATCCCAAACAACCCTCCTCAGTCACTCACATCATCCTAACCAACCCTTGTCAGTCACTCACATCACCCCAACCAACCTTTCTCAGTCACTCACCACATCCCCCAACCAACCCTGCTCACCTCCCCTGCTGTAACCTCACCTGGGCGGCCAACATGGCGGCGTACGGCGACGACTCGTCACGGTCGGCCTTGACCTTCATGCCGCCGGTGACGCGCACGATCGTCTCCCGGCCCGAGAGGTCCGTCACGTGCACGAACGTGTCATTGAAGCTGGCGTAGATGTGAGCGACGCCGAAGACATTCTCGCCCTCCCGCACCTGGGGTCCGAGCGAAACCTGGACCTGGTCCTCCTGCTTCTTACCCTTCTTAGGTGCCATGTTCTGCGGGGGAGAGGGTGGAGGTGTCATCCAGGTCTGGGCATGGTCTGGAATGGTCTGGAATGAAGTCATGCCATAAAATTGTTTGACTTTGCTTTGGAATGTCCACATTCAACAAAATATGGTTGTATGATAGAAAAGAAAAATCCATTTTGTTTGGGATGTTCACAAAACCATGTAGTGTCCAGACAGGTGGGAGGATAAGCCTTTAGGGGGAGGGGGAGGCAGAACAGGTGGAGTTAACACAGCTTTATAGTTGGCACATCATATTGGAAATTCAGGGACAAATGCAATAGTATGAATTTATGGAGGTAAAGCCATGGTAAAAAAGACCAAATGCAGACTGATGGAGGCAGAAGCTTACAGTTGCTGAACAAGACTTTCTGGCAGGCTGGAATTATGCAGTACCTGACACTCTTGTCAATGAAATTGCATGTTAAAACCCAGTCCCAAAAATTCAAGACCTTGCAAAACTGCCCTGCAGTATAACCACTTAAAAAGTATTACTGACTCTATAACACATCCTTTCTCGACAACCTGAGTGTCTAAACTAACAACTGTGGCATTCTGTGGTGCTCATCTCATGGACTGACAATGTAGACCCAAATGCAGGAGCACCAGCCCAACATAGCTGGTAACTGCCCACAGGGGACAATCCCAGCCTGGAGAAATCATGTCACCATACATAAGACAGCTCTCCAGTCCTGCGCCACAAACCCCATTAAAAAATTATCACCCAAACTTGAGCACAGTTCAGGCTTCTGTAGTTTCTGATAAATGTCACATGTTTTGCTTTGTAAGCTCAATGAACTGCAGCTATGGTGGCAAATGCATGGCCACAAGTATATGCTCACAAACAAGTGAGTAATGACATGGAGCAAGAGAATGATGCACTCCTGTGTAACCACCTGAAATGCTACTTTCCACCTGAAGATTGCAATTCAGCCAGCATAAACCTCTGAAATGGCCTTAGAAAATA